TTGATTAGACTCCATTGGATAATTTTGAATTTATTTTTAATATATTATAAATATATTACTTATATATTATCTTTAGTAGGCCGGGACAGGAAAACTTTGTTCGAAATTGATAACTCCTTCATCTGAACTCCGTTTTCGTCCGTCTTTCCGTCGTTGCACTAATATCGATGAGATCTTCAATTCTCATTTAGATCACTAAGGATATATATATATATATATATATATATATATATATATATATATATATATATATATACCTTAAATTCACTATTTACGTCGCGCTGGGTCGCGTTGGGTCGTGCCAGTTCTGTCGCGAAACTTCGACTGGTCATATCTTCTTCGTTATAACTCGAATTTCGGCATTCTTTATATGCACGGAAACCTTGTGACATATACTACAACTTGGTTAAGATTAATCCTTCTAAATAATCTTCCATCAAAAATTCATTTTTGATGCTTATCGTCTCTAATTTGACTAGCCCGGATCTACGGGCGTTACATTGGGATTCTACATAAATCTTGTTTATAGGTTCATAATAACGATAATGGACTTAAACATAAGTTATACTTAAAGTAGGGTAAGCATAACTCACTTACATGGGAGTTTAGTGAGGAATCGGGCTCTACGCGGGCAAAAATTCTGAGCTGAAATCTCTTTTTCTCCGGGCTTTCCGGTGCTCCAAGACTCGCTTCTAACAACTAGGAGGTGCTAGGGAAAAACTTAGAAGGTTTGGGAGTAATTGGGAGAAGAGAATTGGAAATATGCGAAGAAAATAGGAGATTTGAGTCTCTATTATAGGGTGTCTGATGGACAAAAGCTGAGCATTCCCATGCCACATGTCACCATTTGGTGGCAAGCCATTGTGAGGAAGCAGTGGCTCAGATCGCGCCACGTGTCACTCACAAATTACTCTAAAAACTAATTATCTTCTAAAATCCATAACTTTCGCCTACGAACTCCGTTTTTGATGTTCTTTATATCCACGCGTAGGTATCAATAGAATCTACAACTTTCGTTTAGACTTCGTCGGCTAATTTTGAATTATTTTTAAAGTTATATTTTAAGAAGCTTAGACAGTTAAAGTCCGTTAAAAATTTATAACTTTGTCATCCGACGTCCGTTTTTGACTGTATTTATATCGTTGAGCTCCTATTAATGAGATCTTAAATTCTCATTTAGGTTGTGTCGGCAAAAAATCGATTGATCCAAAATTCGATTTCCGGGTTGTGCACTGCTAGGCTAAATCTTAGAAAAATCATAACTTTCTCAAACGAAGTCAGATTTGGATGTTATTTTTTATGTACGTTCTCGGTTTAACATATACAACAACTTGCATTTAGATTTATAAGGCTAAAAAGTATTTCGTCAAAAATTCACTTTTTACGTTACGCGGAGCCATGTCGAGTTTGTCGCAAAAACTTCGACGTGTCATAACTTGTTCGTTTTATGTCAATTTTAGCGTTCTTTATATGTATGGAATCCTTGTCACAAATACCATAACTTTGGTTAAGATTATTTATGCTAAATAACCTTCTATCAAAAAGTCATTTTTAACGCTTATTATCTTTAAATTGACTAGCACGAATATGTGGGCATTACATAATCGACTTGACAAGTAAACTTTTTATCATTTCTCTTGCATATGCCCTTAGCATGCATTTCATGTTTTACCTTGGTGATTACAATCATGAACGAATCATCAAAAGGATATTCACTTAACAACTAAATCTCCATCTTCAACTTTATCTTGGATGTAGTGGAATTTCCTCTTTTTTTGCGCTGACCTTCTGTGATCTCAAGGATCATTAGTCAACCTGATTTCACCTTTACAAAATAATTCTAATGGTAATTTGTTACTCAAAACAAATCCAAGGTCAACTATAAAGTCTTCTAGTCCAGGTATGTTCCTTGGATACTTCACTTGAACTAATGTAGGTATGTTCCTTGGATACTTCACTTGAACTAATGTAATCTGACTCATATTGTTGAGTCTACCACCATCTCCTACATGAAACTTCTCATGTTACCACACTATAATTCAGAATGAATATCTATTTAGACTATGACTAAAAGTCATCTCTATAATTCATGTCACTATAGCTCTTTCTCAATCATGTTCTCTACTGTCAACAAGTAACCATGCCTTTGGTATCTTTCAATACCTCAGAATGTTCTTGAAAATTGTCTAATGATTCAGTCGTGTAAATTTTTTATAATTTCTCATGATGCTCAAAACATTTAAGACATCTACACAAACACTAGTCATAACATACAATATTGATACTATATCCAAAGTATATGAGAACCGAATCATCTTCTCATTTTAATGACTAGATTAAAGGACTTTGAGATTCGCTTAACTCCTTGCTATGATGCATATGAACAATCCCTTTCTTGGAATTTTCCATGTTGAAACTTTTGAACACATTATTCATACATGTGCTTTGATGGAGTCTTATTAAACATTTCGATTTATTATTTTAGATCCGAATACCAAATATCCATATCGCTTTTCGCTAATTCCATCATAGTGAAATAATGCTCGAACTTTTACACTTTGCAACTTAGGGAAATTTTTTCTAATGAGTAGTATTGTCATCAACATGCAATAACAGGAAGACAACGACACTCCCACTAGCTTTAACATATGCTCAAGATTTATCTGGACTTTTAGAAAGACAATACTTTTTGACTCTTCTTACAGAAGCACATATTCCTTGCTACGCGATGCTTTAAGCTCACACACATTTTTTAAAAACTTTGTATGTTTAAATACATTCAGAACGTGTCATACATCCTTCAAAAGTTTCATGTTAAGGAAAATCATTTAAACATCCATTTTACTATATTTTATTATAAAAGAAGACAACAATGGTAACAAATAACAAAATAGACATTTTCTCAACTACTGGTAAGAATGTATCATCATAATCAATTTCTTGAGTCTGAGTGAAACCCTTTTCCACCATAGTAGCTTTGAATTTATGTACATTCCTATCCATGTTAGTCTTTATATTTAAGATCTAATTTTTCCCCATTGTCTTCATATTTAAGATCTAATTTCGTGGATTAAATTTCGCTATCCTTATACCCTTCCCATTGGTAGCCTCAGGGCCCACCATTGCTTCTTAGTAGCTATTAGGATTATCCAAATTGATCAATGTTTTATCACTAATCAATGTGTCACCTTTCGCAGTTAGATGAAATCCACAAAACTCAGGTGATACACTAACTCTACTGGATCTTCGAAGAGGTAAGGCAATGTCATTTGACTTAATTGGTATTTTAACCTCAAGTTGAGAGCTAGTTCCAACTATAGGTTCAATGTCGGTCATATCTCGAATTTCTTCAAAGTCAATATGACTCGCACTGACTTCTTGATATATATTTTCTTTCTCTCAAGGAACACTCATTTTGAGATATAAGCATGATGCACATGGGCCTTTAAAAAAATATCAAAAGTTTTCAATGAATACCCAACAATGTAACACTTCTTAGATCTCAATTTAAGTTGGTCATTGGTTCCTCGTCTAACGAAAGGCTTAACAACGCCAAAAATAAATGTGAGGGAACTTTCCAAGTCTACGTTTCATGAGGTGTTTGCAAACCCACTTAGTCGGTTACAAGGTTCAAAACATGTTGTACTATTTCAAGTGTATATTCCCCAAAAATATAATTGGTAGCAAAACACGACTCATCATAGATCGAACCATATAACATTTGATTCTCCTTTTTAACAACACCATTACATTATGGTGTCCTTAAAGAAGGTAATTAGGAAACTATTCCACAATCTCTATGATGATCAATGAACTAAATACTAAGTCATTCTCCTTTCCTTTCGGATCGAAAACCCTTTTATCTTCATAGCTAATTGATTCCCTACTTTGTTCTAATACTTAAAACTTTTCAAAGTATCAAACTTATGTTTAATCATATAAACAAAATCACATCTACTGAAACTAACTTTAAATATGACATAGTAGTTTTTTCCGTCCCTTGTGACGGATCTGAAGGATCGACACATCAGTGTATACAAGATCCAACAATCCTTTAGGTTTCTTGAAATGATCTTTTTCTTTTTCAAACCAGGAACATAAACTAATGAATACTAAAATGAAATTATTCTATTGTGAGGATCAAACCCCTCTATTTACATCCAATCTCAATGTTATTTCACAAGATTTAGTATGTTTTAAAAAAATTATTGTCGCAAAGTCTAATGATTTGTTTATTTTACCAGTATACTAAAACAATTTTGTAAGTAAATCGTTATTGTTATTTTAACATTTAAGTCCCTTTTGCCTCGAGTATTTTTCAATATCTGAGAAGACTAAATTTATTTGACATTGTATGTATAGAATCTTAGACATTAACTAAAGTTTTTATCTCGTAACTTTTAACATTAAATCACATCTCTTCGACACTTTATGGACGAAAGATCTCAGACATTAGCTTATTATCATCTTTCCTTTATATTTTTATTATTTTAAAATTGTTATCGATAATCTTTAATAAAGTAAATAAGCATTGATATGTTGAATCCAAATGTTGATAAGGGTTTTCATATTGTCACCAATTTTGAGGATGTCATATGGTGAAAACGGCATATGTTAAGGTAAACCCATGTTACTGACGCAACATTGCTGTATCCAATTGTACTACAAGCATCAAAAGTTGTACGTCGATTATTATTATTTTAGGTTTACATTTCTTGTAAAAACACTAGCCTATATTAACCACCATCCAAGCATTATACTCTCTCTAGTCTCTTCCCCTCTCTCTAAACCTTCAAAAACTCCATTGATGAAGCTAGAGAGAGAAATCGAAACAGAGCTTCAGTACGAAATTCAACAAGCACACACAGTCTTTCTCTGTGTGTTCTTGTTTGAATCCCACCGTTTGTGTGTGTTTCTGTTTGGGTTTTGATCTTCGTTATGTGAAAAACAGTGCGGGATTTTTGGAGTTGTGAATGTGATTCATTTGAAGAACAGAGAAGATGAAGAAACCAACGAAACCCATATCAAGCCCTGGAAGAACAGAGAAGTTCCCTCCGCCATTGATGAGGTTCTTAAGAAGCAACGTGGGAAGCAAGAGCAGTAACAGAGGAAGAAGATCACGTGCGAGCCCGATGTTCAGATGGAAGAAAAACACAGTTATCGAGACCACACAAGAACCATCTTCCCCTAAAGTCACGTGCATCGGCCAAGTCCGTGTCAGACGCTCCAAGAAAAACAAGAAAACCACCATCGCCACCACCCCCACCACCACCTCCCTCCGCCGCCACCACCCAAGTAACCGCCTTTGCCGTTTCCTAAGAAAACTCAGACCAAAATCGTGTAGAAGCCTTTGGAGCAAATGGGTCTCGTGTTTCCGATGTGGGTATTGCAAAACGTCCAGGGATTTACATGATTCACCGGTGATTGATGCTTCTCCGACATCTGCTCCCCGAAACGTCTCCGGCGACAATGGCGATGACGACGAAGAAGAAAAAGAAGTTGAAGATTTGACTGTAGAAGCTGAAAATCAGGGATTGATTTCACGATCACCACCCCGAAATGCATTTCTGTTGACAAGATGCAGATCTGCTCCCTACAGATCTTCTTCATTAGCAGGTAAGTTATGGGAATCAACAGGCGGAGAAACAGGGGAGGAAGAAGTTAAAGAAAAAATTAAAAATTTGAGGATCGAAGAAGAAGAAGAAGAAGTTATTGGGAATGAAAATGGAGAAATGAATGAAGAAAGTACATGTAATAAAAGCAATGAGGTTGAAGAATTGAAAGCAATCAAAGCTGCGCCATTGATTCTGAGCAGGTGTAAATCAGAACCAGCAAGAACATGGGATCGGATTCTTGTATGAGTTTGACTTGTGTAAACTTTTAATTGTGATTAATCGGTCAATCTTTTGTTTTCATTTTTATTTTTAGTTTGTCTTATTTCTAAATATATATATTTTTTAATCTTTTTTTTTTTTTTTTTTTCCTATCTAGTTGGATTAATTAATCATATAAAATATAAATTTTTTAAAAAGGTTTACGAATCCAAGAATTGTAATCAATGTATTCATTATCATGACAATTTTATTTAGTTAAATAATACATAACAATTGTTCAAATTTATTACGAAGTATATAGTATACTCAATAACAACAAAATACGTTATGGATTAATTTCTTACCAAATACATGAAACTTGTATATAATGGAACCTTTACAGCATTACTTACCATTTTTTTTTGTATGGACTTCTATAATATCGAAAAGAAACCAGTTAGGAGCCATAAATATTGGGATTTGTATAAATTATAAGGAAATTATTAGTTAAAATCGTATATTTTTATTATTTATATATAGTTTCTTGTTTTCTTTCTATAATGTATTTAAATAAGAAGTTATTCTTTTACCTGAATACAATGGAAAAGTTGACGTCAACTGGAACACGTGTGGGATCATGAAAATTGAATATAAATTAGAAATATGATATTGGTAAATTATGGCTAGAAATATACGATGGAATCTTTGAACTTATTTTTGGTTATTTAATTTCCAAAAAAATAAATAAATTCCATAGAAAATATTGTTATTAGAGAGGACCACGAATCCACGATGCCCATTCTCTTACCATGCACTGACCTGTCACGAGCCCAACTAATCGACTTATAAGCCCATCATCACTTTTAATGATAATAATATTTATTAGTAAATAAAAAATTATTTTATAGTAATAGTTATTGAAATTTATTATTAATTATCATGTAATAAAAATTATCACTTTTAATTAAAATATGTGTAGAATTTATATTTATATTGATTGTTTTTATATTTGATGTAAATTAGTTATTATTGGTGTCTAGTTTAAGAAATATAAATAAATTTATATAGATAAATTTAATATTTTATAATTATCATTTTGCTCGAAATTAAAATTTTAATATATATATATATATATAATATTTTAGTATTCTAAAAAAATATTGCTAACATATTTTACATTGAAATATGTTAAAACATATAATTTTAGAATATTATACATATTTATTTTTACGAACAATAAAATATTAGAATATTTTCTTAGATACAAAATAATTAATACTTGCCAAAATTTTGAAGTCTTAATTAAGGAAGATTATTAAAAATTTAATTTAGAGCAAAATGATAATTTTAAAATATTAAATTCATCTATATAATTTTATTTATTTCTTAAACTAGACACCAATAATATTTAATTTACATCAAATATAAAAACAGACAATATAAATATGAATTCTAAACATATATTTTTTTTAATTAAAAGTGGTAATTTTTTATTACATAATAATTTATAATAAAATCTAATAATTATTTTCAGTAAAATACCAATTCGTCAAAAGAGCTATTTATCGTCTGCTGACTTGTGTGGACACACATATAGTATATATATATATATATATATATATATATATATATATATATATATATATATATATATATAATCATAATAAAAACATCTCCTAGAATCCACTTGTCCAACTCTTAGACTACAAATCTGCCACATGGCAATACAAGAAGCAATAAACAAAAAACTTTCCCGCCTATATACACATTCCTTCAATTCGTCAATCCATATCCAAAACAATTTTAAAATTGAAAATTCCATATTCTATATTTAAGAATTTGAAGATTGAAGATATTGAAGATTGAAGATCTTGTATCCCTTGAAATCAGGAGCCGAAGTTGATGCTGGTCAATTATCTTCTAATCTTCCGATTCAAATATACCTTAAATCCTTGAAAATCAGGTTCAAAATAAATGCATATGCATATATCATTTCCTATAATCGGTTTTACTTCCACAAAGTATTATATTTCAAACAATCTTTGACGACATTCTCTATGAGCTCTGATGACTTCCATGGAACAGGAAAAACTAAAAACAATCGATGATAATAATAAAAGGTTTGTACTTCATTTCGATTGCAACTCATTTATATCGTTTATTTAGTTATCATTAATTTACATATATATTTTCCTGTCTTTTTTGTATGAATAATTTATAGTCAAGAAAGTAATGTTTTTGTTCCTGTCTCATCATTTGATTTTTTCTTAAAAACAAGCGAATGGTTACTAAACGCATTGTTTTTGGATTGGTCTTGTGATTCACTTTCTTTTTCTATTTACTAGAATTGGTTTCTTCATTATAGGTTTGATCGTATTGAATGATCAAATCTTCCTTATGGTTCTTAAGTGAATATCTACTAATTCATCTTAAAATTTGAAGTATTGGATGTTGATGAGTCGTTGTGGCTTTATGATCAACGAATTGTTGCGTGGATTTTACATTTGGATGTTCTTTGACGTAAAAAGGTAAACTATTTCAAATGCATACAAACTGTTTGTGTGAAGTTTTTGTATCTCTTCTCTTTTCTCAGTTGTGGCTGATTTTTTTTTGCCTTTTAACGTTATTCTTGAGTGATGTTTCATTATATTTACTTAATAAGTATGTTCTTGGACCTAGGTTGTATGAGGTTCCTAATTTTCATCCCAAAAAACTAGGTAGAATTTTCAAAACAAAGGCCTAAAGCTGCATCTATACTCCATATTAAATAATAAGAAACTCTTAAAAAATAGTGGCAAATCTTTCAAGTTCTTCAACTACCCATGTCTAAACTACTAATAAAAACTTTACAGACTTATTTTTCATAATCTTTCAAACTCAATATTCTATTAGTGGGAAGGAAGATTCTATTTTACAAAGCTATTTACGAATGGGCTGATTTTAATAGTTTAGTTATTAGCTTTCAACTATTTATATTGATATTGGCTGATAGGTCCAGTTACTAATGATGTTATTTGAGTTGAATTTTGAATAAGGGAACCATGTAAGTTTTGCATCTTAAGATTTTGTATGTTTGTGCTGCTCTTGGGAAGTTGCTAGAGCAACATGACTATGTTGCATATAATCTTCCTGTCATTATCAATTTCAGTTTTTCTCAGTGAACTTTTAATAGTAATTTGGTTTTATAATTAATCAATGTTTGCTTTATTTTCCTTTTTTGTTCCAACTTTATTTTAATTTGTGCAACCTAATCGAAAACTTCACTAAAGATAGTTCCTAAGGTGTAAGTTGTTAGACATGAATACTAATTTCATTATTTCCTTTTTTTAACATTCAATCATTGACTCTTAGTTCATTTCCTTGATATAATGTAGGAATTATCATTGGATTTTTCTCAAAATGTTGGATCCTCTCTTACCTCACATAGCCCATGTTTAGGAACAGTAACTATTTTATATATTTTATTAAGAATAGAGATATTTGAAAAGCATTTGTTTATATTCATTCATGAATCATGAATTGATGGAATATATTATTTCCCTTACCATTTTTTCTTTTCATTTTTTTAAAACAATTTTACTCTATTTAAGATGGTGCTGCTAAAAATGTTCTCGCACGTGTTTGATATGGTTAACAACCCACATTATTTGTACCATGTGACTGTTACTCATGCAATTTCCAAATTTGCCCTTATTATGGGTTTAAAAATCACTTCTTCTAATTTGCTCCATATTCTTTATAGGACCTTTAAAGACAAGTAAGTCAATTCATTTCTTTAAATACAATTTTTTTTTTTGTCATTCTTAGTTATTTTTCATTTATTGTGTTTTTTTAGAATGCCTAATATCAAAGTCAATGTAGCTTAGGTGTTTGCAATTCCTAATTCTCATTGTTGACCACTATGTAAGTTTCTTTTTACCCAAATTTGGTCATATACTTCAAGGGAAAAATAGTCACACCTAAAAAAAAAAAAAAAAAAAAAAAAACTAATACTTTGAATTGTTAGATTGCAACAAAAAGTGATAGGGATCAATTTTGAATTTTTGATATGTTTGTTTTATAGGTTTTGGAGAGTACCATTGTTTGGTGGATTAAATCATGACATGATGTCAAGCTAAAGAAAATAAGTTGATGGAATTTTAGGGTTACACTAATCATATGTTCATTTGTATTATTTGTTTGTGTGGTTTCTCATTGATTAATCAACTACATTATGATGAAACGTATGCTTGATTTTTAAAAAGAGATTAATTTGTTATACTTCTTATTGTTTATAAATAGTTTGTTAAATACATGTGGGTAAGTCTAATCTCCTTAAACATGTTCTTTATGGGTATTGTACTTATGTGAAAAACACACTCGACAAAATTCTACATCATAAAGAAAATACGTTTATTTTATGTGAAAAACACACTCGATTTGTTTGTGTGAGCTCTGGAACCTGAAGACGAATACTTCCTAAGGATATAAATTAAAGTATTATGTTTATTTTATTTATCACATTAATTCATGATGACTTACAATCGAAAATACGTTGGATTTTTTTTTTTTTGACATTCAATATTTTTATTTATATAATAATTTTAAACAAACCAACTGCGGTTTCCACCGGTTATAACCTAGTATATATATATATATATATATATATATATATATATATATATATATATATATATATATATATATATATATATATATATATATATATATATGTGTGTGTACACACGTCATCAGCCATAACCAAGATATTTGAGAATTGATTGGACTAAAAAAATTAAATGATTTGATGAGCTTTGGCTCTTTAAAAAAAATATATTTGAACTAAAATGTTCAATCCATTCTTTTTCTTTTTTTGAAACGACAAATAATATAAATATCTTCTGTGTCTGGGATTGAACCCATTACCTCCTAGTTAGTTGTTAGATTAAAGACCTCATTGTTAGCAAGTCAGCTAACCCCAACTTGTCAATCAACAAAAGATCAATCAGTGTTTACATTCTATAAATCTTAAAATTTGTGGTTTAGCCACAGAATAATTAATTGAAATA